GAAGTACGAGCGACCCTGTCTGGTTCACATTGGCTTCCCCAGGTTCCTTGCACATAGGAGGAAGGATGGATTCGTGTAGCATAAAGCAGGAGGGCTCTGAAGCTCATCATTCACATCTCACCGCATCCAAACGTAGGGCATGACCTGGTAGATGGCTCCCTCCCTCTTTCCCCACCTTCACCCCATAAAAAACCTGCTTATCCAGAGAAATACAGGAAAACACCAAAATCTAACAGGAACTCAGAAACCCACTAGTCCTTTTTTAAGAGGAAATGAAAATTCTTGCCTCAGCTTCTCCAATCTCAGCCTGAGATGATCAGTGCAAGTGATTTTTATAAGTTTGGTGAGACTCCAGCAAGAGTTTTCCTTTAAATGTGTAAACAGAGGTCCGTATTCATCCACATCCACATGTACGTACTCACCCACAACTTTCTTTAAACAGAAAATTGTTCATACCATACACATACTTCTATGCAGCTTTTTATATCAGCTAACTTTCCAAGGCATAGCTTACTCTTTCATTTTAACGGCTGTATTATCCATCACTGCATGAATGTGCTATAAATGACTTAATCACTTCTCTACTGATGGATATTTTGGTTGTTTTGAATTTGACACTTTACACAACGCTAGAAGGAACAACCTCATCGTAGATCTTCATACGTACAAACTATTGATACAAAAGTAGACTCAAAATAATGAGATTGACAGATTGGTAGGGTATACAAGTATTTTTATTTTGCTAGATACTGCCAAAATATAACCCAAAAAGGTTGCATCACTTGTTATATACTTCTACACCCTCCCCCAAACACTTACTGTCAGCAATCTTTTTCAGCCTTTCTATTTTGACAGATGAAAAATGCTCTCCATACCTATTTTAATTTACATATTGATATTGAACATGCTATCAAAAGGCTGCTTGCCATTTGTATTTCTTAGGCAAATTGCCTATATGTATTAAGTAAATTTTTTCCTATTGAGTTATTCATCTTTCTGCTAATGATTTATAGGTGTTCTTTACACATTAATGATACGTAGCAAATATTTTCTTCCAGTTTTTTTATTTCTTCTAATTTTGTTCATGCCCGCCCTCTCCCCATCACGATCCATACAGAAGTGTTAAGTTACATTAACACATGTGCCTATCTTTCGCTTTAGAATTTCTGGACTAAACTTGCTCACACTCTCTCACTCCAAGATTCTTTTTAGTCCTATTACCTCAGAATAATATTCTACATTTCACACAACTTACCCAGCCTAGTAAGGAAGAGTGAGGCTACTATTAAAACTTCCCTCTTAACTCACTGAAAGCTCCTCCCCTTCCTCAGGGTGGCCTCGCTCAGCTAGAAAATCTGCGTGCTGAACAGGGCTGTGGGCCCTTCCCTGCTTTCCCAGCTTCTTCAATTCCATGACCCCTACTCATCAGGTTTCCTCCAGGACCTTCTGGGCTGGAGAGACTGGGGGACGAAAGAGAGTTAAGATGCGGAAAACTGCTGGAATCAGGTATCACTCTTGAGCTTTGGTGCTGCTGTCCTCAGGACGCGGCTGAAATGCAAAGGCTGCCTGCCTCTTCCATGGGAGGCTTACGTGGGTTACTCAGAGACTCCCCAGCTGAGACTTAGCCGCCCACCCTAATAGGCTCTCTCTGTTGGAGTCATTGCATGGAAAAGCGGCACCCTTGGACAAACCCCCCCCCCCCACGATAACTCAGAATCAACTCTGAGAGGTCCACGGCCAGTCAATGTTTGGGTGCAAGTCGACCTTGTTCCCACAGTACATCTCACCGTGTCCTGGCTCTGCCATCACGGCAGCTCACACAGCCTCGGGACTTCAGAGCCTGCCGTCTGCAGTTTCCAGTCCATGTCCCCAGATTGGAAGGGACACAGCCTCTGAGCGGTTCTCTCAAAGGTCCCCTTATTTGGCTCCACTCCCTCACAAGATTCAGAGATAGTGCCATAGTACTATGCCAGCTCGCTATCCAAACAAAGCTCTCTCTCCATCTTTCACTTTTTAAATATTTGTGAACCTATTCTTATATCGCCTAGAAGTGAAGGAAGAGCTAACAGCAGCATGACCGGTTTCACAATCTCATTGTTCCGGGACCTGCTAGCCTCAGCCTTTGGACTTCTGCCAAAACTCTGACAAAATAGGAAAAGTCACATTTAATATTTCTGCTACAGAAACCTTAGTTTTACTGTTATAATAATTCTTTTTAGGCTTTTTCAAAATCAAAACAACCTACATATTTTAGCTGAATGCCTCATCTTCGATTAGGTTTTTCTTCTCTATGATGTCTTCACTAACTAAATTTTCTGTAACAATGCATTATTTTTGAAATGAGAAAAATTGTTTTATTTTAATACTTTTATTTGCTGCATTCCCAATTATTTACATTCTTAACTTGTGTTTGTGTTTTATTTTTATCAATCTTAAAAATACATTACATAAAAGTAAATAAGTAGTCACGCTATTCATTCATACATTCTTGTACTTACTCATTTCGCATTAAGATGATTATTTGAATTCTTATCATATCTCACAAGAAAAGCATTCCTTCTACAGAACTGTTGATGTGAAAGTATTTAGAGATCATGTATCTTGAAATTTTCACTGAAGAACAGACAAAGCAATAAGATAGTGAGAAACCACTCAATATTGGTTGAAAGCCACCTCATTAAGTGATACTCTATCTTTTTAAAATTCTATCTTTGATTTTAATAATTTTAAATTTGAACATCTGAATAAATGAATGATACTTGGAATGTTACTTGATTACTAAACAAGTTGATCTTAGAATTTCTAATCATTTTGATTATTTAAACAACCTTTGTGTCCTATGAAAATTCTCTAAAATGACAGGGGAAAGTGTATAAAAATCATGAGCTAGAAAATTCCAATATTTAGTGAGAAAATAAAGTGAAAAGTTCCTATCAGAGTCTTCTCTAAAAGAGAATCAAACCTTGGGGGAGATACATTTTGCCAACTGTAAGATACCCCCAAGTCTTAAATTACATTTAAGTTCAGATAGTAAAGTTGGGGGGGGCGGGGAATCAAAGTCTAACAGGTAATGTGCTTCTTAGTAAAATGACCCAAGAGGTTACACATGTGCACCAAGATCAAGTGTGAGCTCAAGAGAAAATGAATTATTTTGATTACCCTAAGGCCTGGCCTCCGCAATTTCAGCATGCTCTAACATTAGTTAGCATGTGTTTTAGAAGGTAGTCCACATGGCTACCTGCAGACACGCCCAGAGACCCAAAGTTCTTCAGAGAAAGAAGGTGCCTTTTCTCCAGGAA